CCCACGCGGAACTCGAACGCCCGCAGGGCCTCGTAGTCCAGGGACCTCAGGGCGAACAGGTGGCCGTTGTCCGGGTTGATGGACACCAGAGAGGCCAGGGGCACGTGCGCGTCGAGGGGCGGCAGCAGCGAGTAGGTGACCTGGGCGTTGGCGCCCGCGTCTCTGTCTGTGGCGCGGACGCTGCCGATGTGCAGGGCGGGGCTGTTGTTCTCGCGGACGGACAGGGTGTAGGAGGTCTGGGTGAAGGCGGGGGCGTTGTCGTTGACGTCGGACACCAGCACGGTTATGTTATGCTCGGTTTTCAGCCTGGGGGTTCCCATGTCAGTGACGGTGATGGTGATGTTGTACTCGGCTCTTTTCTCTCTGTCCAGAGGGCTCTCTGTTACCAGGGTGTAGAAATTTTTGAAGGTAGGCTTCAAGAGAAAGGGGAGATTGTCCTGAATTGAGCAAACCATCCTCCCGTTGTCCCCAGAGTCTTGGTCTCGTAGGCTAAAAACAGCGACTACCATGTCAGGTGACGAATTTTCCGGTATGGGGCTGATAAGAGATGTTATGACTATTTCTGGTGGGTTGTCATTCACATCTACAACACTAACTAAAATTGCTGATTTTCCTGAAAGGCTCCCACCGTCAATGGCCTGAATATTTATTGTATAAGACTTAATTAACTCGAAATCCAGAAGTGCTTTTAAACGGACTTCGCCAGAAATGGGATGGATTTCAAATGTTTTCCGTATGTCTCTGGAGACGTGGGAAAATGAATAAGATAGTTCTCCATTTAGTCCTGCATCTAAATCTGTAGCAGACACCTTGACGACCAAGGAGTCCAGAGGGCTGTTTTCTGGTACTAAAACCTCATAGACAGACCTCTCAAACTCTGGGGCATTGTCATTGATATCTGAGACCAACACACGCACCAGTGCAGTTGCAGACCTGGGCGGAGACCCACCATCTAGGGCTGTTAGTGTTAATCTAAGTTCAGGCTCCTTTTCTCGATCCAGAGGTTGGTCCAGCAACAGCTCTGCGTATTTTCTACCCTCCTCACTGTCTTGCAGTTTAAGGTGGAAATGAGGATTGGGGCTTAATGTGTAGTTTTGAACAGCATTCTTTCCTACATCCAAGTCCTGAGCGCTATCCATTTGGAATGAGGTTCCTGGAGTAGTACTTTCTGAGATTTTCAGAAGTATATGTTTGTCTAGAAACGTGGGAGTGTGATCATTTATGTCTTTGACCCTAAGCTCAGCTCGAAAAAATTGCAAAGGATTTTCTAATAATATCTGGAAATTTAATATGCATGGCTCGGTGAGATCGCAAAGCGCCTCCCGGTCCAGTTTCTCATTTAAGATCAAGTTGCCAGTCTGCCGATCCAATTGCAAGTATGGTTTATAGTCATCAAAGATGACTCTGGCCCCCCGCGCAGCCAGGTCTTCCACACCCAAACCTATGTCTTTCACCACGTTGCCTATAAAAGAGCCGATCTCCATTTCCTCTGCCACAGAATAGCGCCAGGTCTCTGAACACACCAAAGACCCTCCCAGGAAAACAAAGAAAAGCAGCGCTTGCCTTATCTGCTGAGGGCTTCCTTCTCTCGGCTCCATGGCTCCTTGGCTCCCTAGCCGAACGTCTTTCCGCGGAAATATTTCAATTCAGTCTCAAACTGCTCCTCTCAGCTATTAGCCTGGACCATTGAGAATCTATAGACTTGCAATTCGGTGACGAGGGCGTTGCTGACTCCCTAGATTTTTCTTGAAATCCTCTTTTTATCACCACTGCTTCTCTGGAGCTCTCAGTTCCAGTGGTTCACGGTAACCAGAGCATCTGATGGTACAAAAATTTCCCCATCTTATCCTGCAGCGCCACCACGCGACTCTGCGGAGTCTCAGGTTTTAAACAAAGCCAAATAAGTTTGAGACAAAATATTAATTTATCTTGCGTGTTTGTTGATGACTCTGAATTATACTTTCTCCTATATTCCTATTTTCTTTTCTCAGTTTTGTTCTTGTGATGCTGTTACTATTCAGTCTTTAACACAATAAACCACAATCTCTAGAGCTGTGGTGGCTATAAAAAGCATATTTAAGATATAGTCCCAACCTCAAATAAGTTATGCTATCTCTGTGAAGACAACACAACTAAACAACTAAAACAACTAAAAATAGTTAAGAGGACCTTTTTATGTAATTGACTTAGTGAGCAAGAGGTTCCCAGGAAAATTGGAAACGGGAACCAAAGATCTTAGTCTTCTTTAGATATAAGCAAATATGCTTTGAAAAGACAATAAAGATAATGTCATGTATTTAAAACTGAACTGGTATGTACAAATAATTGTTTGGGGGAGGCTTGACATTTCAGGCTGAGTAAATGGTACTGTTTATTTAGGGATACTCCATAAGTGTAGTCGAAAGTAAGTGCTCAACAGTAGTGAATAATGTAAGACATGTCCAGTTTCTGTCGACATTTTAAAAAAGTTGAACAAACTAGAACCCAGTTTAGTTGTGGAACTGAATTCTGTTTTGTAGACCCAGGACTTCCAGAGACATAATTCTAAATATATTATCATCCATTCATTAATTTTTTCAGCAAGTATTTGTTGAGCATACATTTTGTGTTAGGGATAGAGTGGTAAACAGACATAGTTTCTGTCCTGAAAGATAGAGGCAGAAAAGTGGTCACACATTTAAAATAGAGCATAATGAATGCCATGATAGCAAAAGTTCATGCTAATATAAGAGCATAGATGAGGGTCATCTAACCAGGATTTGAAGTAGAGGAAAGACTTTTCCGGAAAAAGTTAATTCTAATTTGATACATGAAAAACGAGTTTGAGTAATCCAAACAAAAATTGGGTGTGGGGTAAAATTTCCAGCAAACTAAAAACATGATTGTGCAAATCCAAAAATGAAAGAAGTATTTTGGAGAACTGAAATAGGATCAGTATGGCTGAGCCATAGAGTAAGAGGAGAGAAATGGTGAGAGTTGAGATTGGAAAGATCAACAAGTATTTTGTAAGCCATGCCAAGTCATTTGGAATCTACATCAATAGAAATGCAAGATTATTAAAGTGTTTTAAATAGAAAAGTGACATGACCGTGTTCTTATTTTTCAAGAAGATCATCCTGTTTCAGAGTTGAAGATAAATCCCAGAGGAGTTGGAACTAGAGGCAAGGGATGGATTAGAAGTTGTTCCATTAATACAGGTAAGAGATAATATTGCTGTCACCTAGAAATGCAGTTATAGAGTTGTATTAGAATGATAAAGATAAAATATGGTGATTAGACACAGAGTAGAATAGGAAGGAGTAAAAGTCAATGTACTTTTTTTCAGGCTTAGGGAACTGGGAGAGTGTTAGCGCTATTAACTGATAGAGTAAACACAGGAAGAGGAGAAAAGAGGAACATGTTTAGAGCTAGAGAAGACGTTTAGTTTTGAGGAATAGAAAGTTTTAATTTAAAACATGTTGAGTTTGAGGTGTCCATAGAGTATCCATATAAATTGTTAACATAAATGATCTTACATTATATAAATTAAGTTGAGGAAAGAGGTTTGGGCTGCAGAGACAAATGTGGGATTTATTGGTATGAGTGGTGATTGAAGCCCTTTGAGAAAGAATGTAAGTTGTAGATTAAGAGAAGTACGTTTGAATTTGTGATTTCAGAGGTGCAGCTCTAAAAGACTACCATCTTCAGAAATTGGCCATGGTCATATAGATCTACTAGACTAAGGTAAAATTAGATGTCACTAGGGATGAAAAAGGCTAGAAACTGAGTAGGTCAAATTCCTGGACTCAGAACTGTGGCAAGGGAGGGACAGAGTAAAACTATAAAGTTATATTTGAAAAATAGTCTTTATACCACTTCTTTCCCATGATCTTAATTAATTTAAAACCAACTGACATCCAGTTGATTTGATTCTCTCATTTGATGACTCATATGCAGAGACTATTTAGGCAGGAAGGTTTACTGATTTCTTTCAGCACTTGGAAGGTATCTTTCTTTTAGTTTCCATTAATACTGTTGAGAAATTGTCAACATGGAACATAGCTTTCAGTCTGTCATGTATTTAAAGATTAAGTGTCTTTTTCCTATGACTTTTCTTTAAAAAGTCTTTTGAAATTTGTCTTGTCTTTCTGAAATTTCACAATGATGTTTCCATGTATGGTTATCTTTCATTTATCCTGTTAGGTTTACTTGGGTCTATTGAATCTGTGCATTAAGGTTTTCATCAATTCTGGACAATTCCCAGCCATTACTCTTTCTCATCTCTCCTGAAATTCTGGTTAAATATATGTTAAACTTTTTTACTCTGTTCTGCATTTCTAACCACCTCCTCCATATTTTCCACCTTATTAACCCTCTGAGCTATATGTGGGATAAGTTATAGTCTGACCTATCTTTCACTCCACAAATTCTTTATTTCACTGCATCTAGTTTTCTATTAAACCTTTTATTCAGTTTAAAATTTTGATTATCATATTTTTCAGTTCTAGGAGCTCTATTTGGTTCTTTCCTAATCTTTCACATTTTATTGTTTCTTGTTCCCTGTACATTTTCAGGTGTAACTTTTATTTCAGTTAAAGTTGTTAGCTTCTTATAGACTGTTTCTGATAATCAAAATATTTGAAGTGTTTGCAAGTTTATGTGTGTTTGCAAGTGTTTTATGTTTTCTGCTGGCTCTCACTCATGGTGTCATGTTTCCTTGTGCATGCAGTTATCTTTATGTTCAAGTTAAGAACATAAAAATTATTTATATGAATAATTCTAGGATTAAGATTAATAAACCTTCTTTCATAGAAGGTCTGCATTTGGTTCTATCAGGATCTGGGAGCACTATTTGTCAATGACCACCTTAAATCAAGTTCAATGCTAAAACTCAAGTTCAAGGCTGTAATTGCATACAAGGGCTCATCCATTTCCAGTTTAATACTACCATAAAGGTGTCGTTCTTAGGATTCCATATTTATTAAAGTGAGGGTCTTCTATCAGCTTCTCAGTTTGTCAGGCTTTGATTTCCTCCCCCATATACACCATCAAAATAGAGGTTCACATATCCCAGAATTCCAGTTGTTCTCAAGGAAAAAAGTGGATTTGGGGCCGATTTTCTCTCTCTGAGTTACCTTTAAACATTAACTGTGACCTGACATATATTAGTGTTTTATTAGCTGTTTTTTTCAGTGGAAGTGTTGGTGTACATAATGTATACCACCCTTATTAAAAAGGTAAATTCTCAAGGATATTGTTATGCCTTAAAATGACAAGCAAATTTTTAGCTTTCATGGAGTATGGGAAATTGATCTTATTGAGAGAATAGAGAAATCATTGACATTGGTATAGCTCACACTTCTGTCTGCACTCCTATGTAGAAACACACATCTTCTTTCCTACATTTGTTCCTTCTTCTCTTCTTCCAATGTTTATATATTTGTATATTTCTATAAGTTTAAGATATTATGTATTATATGGATATATATGGTATGTACAATAAATCTCAGGCTCTTTCTTCCTTTTGAAACATTTGGAATTTATTCATGTGGTTGTCTGCACACCTAGTTCACTCCTTTTGATCACTGCATAATAATCCTTCACAAACATGTTCCACATTTTATTTATCAATTGCTTTACTGATGGATATGTAGATAGACTCCTATTCTTTGCTTTCCCAAGATGAACATTATCATGCACTTCATTTTGTAAAGCTGTGTAAGAATTTTCTGGCTTATATGCTCCAAAGTAGAATTGCTGGATCATAAAGTATGTACATACTAAATTTCATTAAATACTATTGAAACTCCTTCAAAATGGGGTGTATATGCAATTTCCTATGGTTCCATTTGATGGAAATTTGTCATCTTTACTAATGCTATGGGTATAAACTGCTGTTTTATCATGTGTATCAGCAACTAATAAGGTTGAGTATCACTTCATGTTCTTCTCAGACTTTCTGTTTTCCCCTCTTTTGAATTTCCTTTCCCTTTTGTCCTTTTAAAAATATTCTTTTGGCTCTCCTGACTTTCTGACTTTTGCTATCTGTAAGACTTATCTGAATAATCTAAATATTAATCCTTCTCAGTGAAAATGCTGCAAGTAGCTTCCCCCTGTCTGTCATCTGCTAGCTTGTCTGGGCTATCCTCTAGTTTTGAGGTAGTAATATTTGTCAATTTTTATCCTTATTGTTGGCACTTTTAAAACCTTGTTTAAGAAATCAAAATCAATAATAAGGTCATAAAGACATTTTTACTTAGACTTGTTACATTTTTTCCAATTAAATATTTCAAATTCACCTCTTAGGTCCACATGAAGTTTGTTTTTATATCACATGAGATAAGGATTTTGTTTCTTTATATAGTGAGCCAGTTTTCCCAATAACATTGCTAAGTAATCAGTCTCTTCCCCCCCACCCAAGTGATTTTGACACCTCTTCAGTCATCACCAAATTTTCTTATATAAAATATCTGACCTTGAATTCCATTCTATCTGGTAGTGTACAAGTTTGTTTCTGTATCATTCAAATAGGATATTTTGTTATCTACTCTTACTCTTATGCATAAGAAGCATAAGCTTTGCTTCTAATGACTCTGAGAGATAAAGAGGGCCCAAACATTCTTTTTCAGGATTGTACTGCTTAAATGTCTATTTAATAAAATTCTCACAACTAGTAAATATCTTTTGCAACACAAAATAAGACCAGTAAAAACTGCATGAAGCAAAGAAAAAAATTCCTAAAAAACTGGCATTTGTTTTACCCATTTCACAATGTCAAGCAAAATTGCATTTTACTACATCATCTAGTCTATAATATTTAATTTTATGAGAGAAATCACAGAAATGTATATGCACAGTAGCTCTATATCCACACTACATTCTAGTTACCAAAGTGTCCACTGAACTGTACACTTATAGATTGGAGACATTATAATTTGGAACACCATGAGACATCTATAAACCATTAATATAGACCCATTCCTTCTTTATGAACATCTGAGAGAGGCCACAAAGTATTAAGGATGTTTTTATATTTACTTTTTAAAATCAATAGAAAAGTGAACCTAATTTATTTCTCTACCCGTTTGAATTTTCATTTTAATTTCTTAAGAAGTTTTTATCTGTACTCTTCTGATGGAGGAGTATTTACTCAAGATGATACCATGAACGTATGAGTTACATAATGAACAACATAAAATAATACAAATTTAAACCAGTAAATGTGGTATATTGAAAGAAAACAAAATAGCAACATAAAATCCCGGAACATTATAAGACTCTTCCCAAAACAGCATCAACGACAACAGTAAAAAAAAGGAAAATTACTTAAGAAATCAATAATTTTCAGTGTGGTCACTTTTATCTTGTCATAAAGTGAATTCTTGAAAAACACTATATAACAAAAAACAAACAAATAAGATACCCTACTACTGAATACTGGAGAGGTGGCACTTTTACTCTTTGTGATGAAAATTTTCAAAGGGAATAGTGCAGTAAAATCCAATATACTTTCCACCCAGCTTCAACAGCACTTTTTTTTTTTAACATCTTTATTGGGGTATAATTGCTTTACAAT